CTCCAGAAACCTCCTGTTTCATGAAATCACTGGTAACATCAGAAGTTGTTAAGAAAAACTCAACACTTACATAGATTTTCTCATACAGAGAAGACCTAAGGGGTGAGGGAAAGGGCTGGAAAAATCAAGTCAAGTTCTCTAAATTATTCAGCAAAAATGCCCCTTGCCTCCTGGTGCACTCACTTAGCAGCAGTAACAGGAGATCTGTTTTTCACTTTTCAGTGACAACACAAGTCCAACAGATAATCTTGGTAACCACCAGTATTTCTCGTTGGTGGTATGTTTTGGTCTCCTTCTCCCTCCCTGGCCTTCCTGAAACACATTTAGCCTTGGCAGGAGGAACATAAGCCTCCCAGTCTAAAGTCTCTCTGTCTTCATGGAAGGAAAAGCAATGTCTGTGCTAGCAGATCTCTGAAGGGGTTGTTACACTGTCTGGTAAAACACCCTGGCAGAGCATTTATGGAACACATCTAAGAGCCCTGGAACACTTATCTTTAGAAAATGTGTCAGGCTGGAACCTCCTCAGGTTTGCAAGGCTTAGAAGCTCCTCAGCCTTGCTCCCCTTGGGAGGAGGGTGGTCAGGGACGTGGAGGTGACATCGGCACCTGAGCTGGGGAACATACCTTTGGTACAGCCACAGACCCACAATTGCACATCCTAGTCATGTTAGTTGTTACACTGTCTGGTAAAACACCCTGGCAGAGCATTTAGGGAACACATCTAAGAGCCCTGGAACACTTATCTTTAGAAAATGTGTCAGGCTGGAACCTCCTCAGGTTTGCAAGGCTTGGAAGCTCCTCAGCCTTGCTCCCCTTGGGAGGAGGGCAGCCAGGCACATGGAGGTGACATCAGGACCTGAGCTGGGGAACATACCTCTGGTACAGCCACAGACCCACAACTGCACATCCTAGTCATGTTGCCTGAAATTAATTTTCTTGCCTTGCGAGAAGGCCATGCTAGGAATGCCTCCTAAACCTTCTGAATTTACTGCAGTGTAAAGCAATCACATGGCTCTTTTAAACAAAAAATGGCCGTGAGGAGCCGTATCTTTGGATGCTCATATATGTATCTCCGCACAAATACAGAACCGCAGACATACATTAAATACACGTCTACAGTATCTGTTTTTCTAAACCACATATTTTCCAACCCTACTGTATGCTGCTCTTCACTTTCAGTTGATTAAAGTATTAGTACATAAAACATCTGTCAGAAAAAGATTAGGCAATAGGCTCAAATTTGTACAGAAATGAACAAGCAGGCAGCATAAATATCCCACAAATAAAATCCATCTCATGCAATATTAATCCTTTCATTGTCAGGAACTAACATTTTATTGGCATGAGGTAACGGAAGGGAGAATTTGTTGTTTGTTTGGCTCAGCCAAAGTTAAATTTCACAAGTGATACTACATGCATCCATAAGCTTAGTATTTCCCAACATTCAGATATTATACTATGCAATTTAAAACAAGTTGATGCAGATTTTGAAACTTGTATTTCAATCGTGTTTAAGTGGGGTGTTGTCAGTATTATGCCCTCAGTGACATGTATACCCTGCACTTCAGCTCCACGGGACACACACCATCAACTACCTGAGCTAGCAGCAGACGTTGCCCAAAAAAGACTGGACACCCGGAGCCACATCCTGCATCTATCACCAGAGAAGTTCACAAAGACCAGATTTCTAACTTACTTTCTCTTGAGGGAGATCCCTATCTTCTCAATTCCTTCATCCCAGGAGAACGGGTAGAAAAAATCTTATGCTGAATTTGAACAGAAATGGAACAAGTCTAGACCACTCTGTTGCACAGCCCTCTGAGTGCAAGGTGGTAAATGGCGCTGTAGACATTTGGGAAGTGGCATGGCACGTCATGCTACTCCTGTCAGAGCAACAATATTCTCCTGACAATTTGAAGGCCCTCTGTGATTTCCAGTCAAATGTTTTTTCCTCTCTCTCTCTCTCTTTTTTTAAGGAAGATAACCATAAAGCATCTTTTTCCTCTCCACCCTGCTCTTCACCATTTGTGAATGACAAAAACCTGCTGCAAGAAATGGAGGAAATTCAAATTTTCATGAAGGACTCTGAGAATGTTTCACAAGGAATATATTAAGAAACTGAAGCATATTGTAACTTTATGCATCTGCAGCTGGACACAGACCACTCAGAACATTGAAGCATTGCAGCATTCAAGGTATTATTTCCAAAATATACTCACAGTTTTTGTATGACCTTCAGTAGAAATCTTCTGATAGAATCCAGGAAGGTGGACTGCAACAGGTATCAAGAAAAGTCCCTATTCGTATTCCCAAGAATTCCCATCAATTTACTACCATTAATCAGCTACAGTATGATCACGCTAGCAGGCAATTGATTAGCAATGGACAGGAGATATGTCAGAAAACATTTCAAATGTCAACAGTCAAGAGCATTGCTTAGGAGTGTCATGATTATTCATGACATTGAACAGGTTTATTTTTCGTAAGTCTAGATAATAATAAAAAAACACACACAAGTTAAACAAGACTTTTTCTTCTCTCTTCTAAAACCCTCCACACTCTGAAAATGCTGAGATGACATGCACTTTGTGTGCATAAAAGCAGCAGCATTAATATGGAAAAAGACACCGCACTTCATTATTTTGATTATTTTATTTTTTTAATCTTCAAAATTTTCTGCCTTGAGACAGGAATGCATGATAGATAGAAATGGCTCAAACATCTTCACATGAAACACTCTTAATCATAATTCATTCACAATTATTTTTCTAAAACATCTACAGTTACATAATCCCACCCATTTCCATCCATTATCACAGATTTAATTATTTGTTAAACAGTAGTTGCCAGCAATTGAAAGCTGTAAGGCTTTTTGCATATTAGTAGAGTCTTCTGAACTACAAACACAAGAATATCACAACTATAACTCTCACTTTACATGGCAACCCCAGGCGACTGATGTTCCAAATGAAATGTGTTGCTTACTTGGAGTTCATAAAAATCAGAGAGAGAGCTCTGTACCTCATTAGCTCTAAAATCCTTTTTTGCGTTACTAGGATTATTTTCTAAACCTACAGCATATTCCCCGTTTGGAACCATGTGTTTTGATGATCTGAACTTTATCTTTCATTGCTATTATTTGGCAAATTTGCGAGTCAGGCATACTAGAGCCCTCCAGTAAAACACTATGTACAGAGCACAGTTTAAACATGGGTTGCTTGGAATCCATACCTCCCTTCATCAGAAGGGAACTACTTTGAGGTTTCTGGAACTGTTGTAAACACGAGGATATTTTATATATATATGTGTGTATATATATATATTTATATATTTTATATATAAATGTTCTAAATGTCCTTTGGGAGTCCATTTGTTTTTATCTTTCCAAATGATGACTAAATACCTGATCTGTAGCATTTCTCCTGAGAAGATACTAGTAAGGGAATGACAGTTTTGATGCACTTTGGAATGGCACAATCACGTAAACGCTTGCATAATTAAGACTTATGAACTCATCCAAAGTTTCTACACATGATATTCTAACTAAAAACTAAAATACCAGCACAATGCAGCAACTTAAAAAAAAAAGAAAATTCTATGTAATCAAAATATAAACAGGTACATAGGAAATGGATATCTGTCAGTAAATCTATACCTTTTTAAAGTAGGAAACATATGCACTTAAGAAAAAAAAATGTAGCTATCTGACAAACTTCATAAAAAAATTACTTTCCAAATGCATAACAAATGCCAAGATATCCTGTAACTGGCCAGGAATAGCCACATGAGAGCTGCATGGCTTAGAGCAACTGGGGGTGGGGGGAGGAAATCACAGAAATGATAGATCAGCAAGTCTGAAAAAAAAATCACATCATCTAAATTGCTGTATGCCTGTATGCTTGTATCACAACTGCTAAGGAGCCAGAAGAGAGAGAAAGAGAAAAAAAAAAAAAAAAGAAAACCTCCCTCCCTTCTCCCCAAAAAACAATTTAATACACTAATCCCAAGCACCAATTTAATAATTTAACTGCATTTCTATTTCTCCTACTAGGGATGGAGCAAGTTCTGCTTGAAGGCTTGAAGTTTAGCTCTAGAGCCCACCTGACTGTGTTCTTGCCACGCGTTCTCTGCTGTTCACATTAAGGTCACTGTAAAGACTCTCTTAGGTTTCAGACTCTCTAGGCAAGCAATTCTTTGAAGAAACAATTACAACTCAACCTGCAACTGAAATCAACTTTCAGGTCATGAACAAGTGAAACACACCGGTATCTGGTTAGTCTGTTATTAAATGGTCTGTAAGATGGAACAACCAACATCGTTCCTCGATAGGATTTGCTTTAGGAATAGCAGCACCCAGGGCAGACCAACTGTGAGCATGTCCAGACTCTATTAAGAATTAGTAGTGTTAGAAAATTGCATATGTGTTAGATCAAGATGGCATTGATGCACATGGCACCGTTACACTGTTTTTCCTCTCTTTTTCTTGTTAAGAAAAAACAAAGGAAAACAGCTCTACATAGAGCTTTTCAGGTTTCTGTTTGTGCTCGCACCTGGAAAAAAACAGCATACTACTACTCAACTGGAATCACTCAGTGCTTCTGTTTAGTTCTTTTAGGAAACACTTTCGCACAGGAAAGGTGGTTTACTTCAGCTAATTCTTAAGAGCTAGCCTTTTTTTTCCAGTATATATTTCATGCCACTTCCTGACCACAATTTCAGAATTAAGAAGAATGAATCTATGGTAATGTCCACTACTAACTTTGACCAGGCCTTGACACAAACCGTGAAGCTGGGCCCTTGAGATGGTTCCACATATTGAACTGAAGGTCAGACTAAAAATCTCACTGAAACTCAAAAGCTGGTGCAGTCATGAATCTCAGCTACTTTTCCCTATTTGAACCCTCACCCCTTAATGAAGTAACGCACACCAAGGGAAGATAAAACCCATCCAAGTTGGAAGTGTTAAGACTCTGGTGAGTTATCCTGCTGCTCTTCAGTTACAGTGGATTCACTGTGCTCCTCACTCGTCTCGTTGGATGGTTCTTCATAGTTTCTACTACAATGTCATTTTGTGGCAGAGTTACCTTCTCCACAAGTTTCCATTGAATAATACTCATGTCTTTCCCTCCAGTTGAAATCAAGTGACCATCATTATAGGTAAAGCTGACATTTGTCACATGACTACTGTGAGCGCTGTATTTGTGACTTGGGGCCTATGGAAATAAACAGGAAGATAAATCATACACTTGACTAGAAGAGCACATGATACCAAAATCTAAACAAACTATAAACATTTGTGCTTAGCCATTTGAGAGAGCCCTTTGTTCACACAAGCGTACCAATTTATATCTGCCTTTTTTTCCTCCCAAATATTTCCCTCCAAAATATCTTCTTATGGCTTGTAACTTGGGACAAATTTAGAAATATCTTCATGCAAAGAGTAAAAGACTTAGCACAATGCGCAGCCAAGAGAAAGCATCAATCCTCTGCTTCAGAACTAAAGAATAACTACCACTACTTCATACATACATATATTTATGCATAAATATGCATGTGTGCATATATATATATGACTACTTTCATGATTAAGTTTTTTTTTTTATATATATGTATATATACACACACACACACAGAGATAGATATATATGTATGATTCCTATTTCCCCATATAAATTTCATGGAGAAACAATGTTTTTTCTCTAGCTTTGTTCTCAGGGAAAAAAATGTACCATTTGGCTGCAACGTTTGAAAATAACTGGGCTGGAAGCAGATGTCTGGCACAGAAGACTTCATGCAATGCATACAATCACATAGACTAGACTGGTCTAGACTTACCTTTGGCTTGGAACAGGGATACTGAAAGAGATGGACTTTACAAAAATCATCAGCAACTGCTATCACTTTTCGATTATGGGATCTGACAAGGGCATTTATGTCTGTCCCATCTGATCCTTCAGGCCAAACTCCTAGAAGAGAACAGAACTGTTCCATTTAGTGATGATACTTTTAAAAACAAATCAAAAGTTAATCCATAAATAAAAATAAAATTTATAAAGCCAGAGAAAAGGCAAGCACAGTAATAAAAGAGAAACATAACATTCAACCAGAAAATCGAAAAGGTTTTGAGTTAGGCTTTGTAATTTGTTGCTAGTCTAACACCACTCCCTCCTGCAAAACCCCAAACTGTGGGGGCCAGGACAACCTCTCAGACTTGAAAACTTTCCTTAATTGAAGCCTCTATCTTACTTTGTACAAATGCATTAAAACCTGATGCTGAAGCATCAAACAAGCCAAGATATAGTACACTACCTACAGAATTCTTTTGTTTTTTAAAAATTCATGACAATTTTTAAGATTCTTCTGCATGATAAAAAAAAGAGACAACTGATTAACAATATTTTGCATAGAAACCCAGACTGTCCATGTTTCATAGACAAAAGTGCTGTCATGTGCTTAAGTACAATTCAATATGCTTAAGTGAGAAGCATGATGCTGATACGTCTAGACAAAATAACAACAACATTGCCTGGAGGAGAAGTCCTGAATAAATACAGGGCTGCAGTTTTAGTGACAAATAAACAAAAACATTACAGATTCCCGTAACAAAGTTCATGATTCACATCTGGGAGAAGAGAGGAAAAAAAAAAAAAGGAAGAGATTAAGATGCTATTTCACACCCAAGTTTTGTTGTTGTTGTTGTTTTAATAATTCGGAGTTTTTTTTTTTTTTTGGAATAACCAGATAATTGGTCTCTTCTTATTAATTTAGGATTAGAAACACTAAGAGTCAAGACTGAGTCTCGTAAGTTGTATCTTTCAGGTTCATGAATTCTTTTAGCATTTCTAAACGTATGGCAACCCTTTGTCACAGGATAGCATGATTTGCTTTCACTGTATGAGGTAAGCAAAGAAAAAACAAGGCATTAACGTGTCCAAGTATTTGGGATTCAAGAACTTAAAAAACACGAATATGAAGTAATACAACTCTTATTAGGTGCGACAGCAGCACTTCAGTTTTAGTGATTTGTGCTAGCCAGAAGTAAGTTTCTCCAAAATAATCTGCTCTGAGGAAAATGTGGAAAATATTCAGCAAATGAGGGGAAGACTTCAAGCACTCGGGGTGCAGACTGATGACACTGCTAAGTCAATACAAAAATATTTACTATGAAAAAGGGACAGTGCTTCTCTCATCCCCACCTTGCATTTCCATCCTCCTCCTGCTGACAACAGGGCATGACTGACCACACACTATCCATAGCACCAAATTAGCAGAATGAGCAAGGTACACACCCAAAAAGCCCCCAGACCAAAAATTTAGCCCTCCCTGCGAACATCCTAGTGAGCAACCCTCCCTCTGCTTGTTTGGACCCACGAGCCAGATCACCAAAGAGTCAGTCTTGATTGTTTTTGACTTCCCTTTGAGTAGTAGTGAACCGTTGCTTAGACTTAGTTGTTCTGTCTGATTTAAGGGGAGAACACTTTGCTCGAGACCAAGCCATAATTTTAAGATTCTGTCGGAGTGTCAGGCTACTAGACAACATAAAATTAAAACTTAATAGTTCTTGCATGGAAAGTTTAGTTTTATATTTTCTAGATTAAATATATTCTCTTCTGCTCCAAAATAAAATAATATTATACTTTACTAAAAGGTCCCTCAGGCTCTTTGAAGATTTTTTCAGCAGTTGAGACTAATTGAATTTAATCCATAGTGGTTAAAGTGCATATTTATTTGGAAGGAAATTCAGACAGAACCAGCAGACATATCCACTGAAGAACAGTTTAAAACAAGAAATAAAAAAGACTGGAAAGCCTCAGAACAGTAATTATGGGAACTGCTCGTCCCTAATCATCTAGTTTCAATCTGGCCCAAGTCACCAGCAGTTTCGAATCAATGTCTGTTAAAGCCAGATAACAAGGGTCTAGCTGTTCAAAGCCAATGAGACTGTCTCAGTCAACTCCTTGTAAGCAAGCAACTGAGCTCAGAGACTTATTTCTGCATTTTCACACCTCATCTCTTCAGATCACGGATAAAGGACACGATTGTGTCTCAAAGTATAGGGATGCACAAAACTACTCCCCATATTCAACCATTTTTAATGCCAAATGCCGTGGTAAAATTTCAGTACCTATGAGGAAGACACCTTCTAACACCTTCAAATCTTAGTTATATTTCAACTTGGCATAAAATGTTAAATGGCTGAACATCCTACACTATTCCAGACTACTCAGTACCTTTGCTTTACAAAGTATCTATGCAAAGATCTTATATTAAACCTTTGTTTTTTCACTTTCTCTGCTTTTTGTTGAATCTTCTAATATCACATTGGCAAAAGCCATTTATGCTACTGTTGTCTTTATTTCAGTCTAAGCTCTGCAGCAGCACAGAAAGTTAGCAAATGCATACTGCAGATTGATATCCTTAATGGGTCTAGTCTTACACACACACGACATCAGAAGGAAACAACTCCTCTTTTCACTAAGACAGACTGAATATAAAAGCACATCTCAAACTCAGTTTAATTCAGAAGCCAGTATTCTCAAAGAAACAACGGTATTCAGCTCCAAACAGCATGTTCCAATTCATTTCTCCTACCTACCTCAACTCCAAATAACTCAAAAATATTTACAGAGTCAATCAACCTGTCAGCATCCTCCATGTCCCCATCTGTTTTCCAGCTCTGCCTCAGATCTTTGACACCCAGGGAGAAAGTAAAGTAGGCTTCGTTATGAAGCCCAAATTGCCTTCTACTCTACTAATATACTGTACAGGAGCATCACTGTGAGGACTAAACCAGCCACCATCCTTTAAAACTACTTCCTAAGGACTTGATATTCCAAGAATATACATGACAGTTGTGAGAGGCTACATAATGTACTCAGATTTATCTGATTTTCCTCCAACCTGCATACGAACTGATGTTTAAAACTGAACTCCTAGGAGCTGTGAAAAGCAGGGTAGATCTAACCCCCACCCTCTGAAGAGTTTAATGATTTACTTCTAACTTGCTTTTAATGTTTCCTACAACGTGAATAACTAAGGAAGACATCTGACACCAGCAGTGAAAGCAAAGGATCCAGCACCCAGCACAGACAGAATGAACAATACTTTTCAATACAGAGGGGACTCCTAACTTAAGGCCAACAGAGTAGCTCTAAGCAAAAATAGTTTGAACTATCAAGCCACAGTCTTGAATTAGGCAGTATTAAAGTCACATCTGTCAGTTTCGTCATTTTTTCCTACGCTACTTTTCTCTTTTTAAATAAACCAATAGGCGAAAAAAATGTTTAATCTTTAAAGCATTTTACTCTTTAGAAGCACCATATCTATTACTCAGTGCTGATGGCAGGTCTCAAGGCGCTGCCATGCTTTTAAGTCATGAACTATATCCTGTATTCACATCATCACTGATCGTTAGATTTGCTCCTATCCCAAAACAAAGAAGCAAGGAGAATGTGTGTATACCATAAGCAATTCAGAATATCAGCTTTTAGGTCCGAAATAGAGTTGACAGCCCCAGAATCAACAGCCTAAAATGACAGCAGAAGAATCAAATCCCAGCCTTCAAGACTAAATGGAAGTCAAGTATACATAGTCTATGAAGTGTACTCATACCCATCGCTCCATATCACAGACAAGCACTGTCGTCAGCCTCTCGGTTGGATATCTCAGCACCATAATTAACAGTAGCATATTCTTCAGGACAAATTTCAGCAAAATTAATAACAAAAGCACGAAGCAAATAGGTTAAAAGCAAATTAAATGATGCTTACCAAACACTTGAAAGCCTAGCACACAAGTGTATGTCGTCCAATCTATATCCTTACAGTCAGAACGATTCCTGACTTGCTTACAGCCACTTGGAATGTCCCCTTTAAAAAAAGTGAATGAGGAGTTATGGCATATAACTTTAGATTTACATACATGCTCTTTATTTATGCTATGACTAATAGAGACAGTAATAAATGCGTCTTAAAAGTCTAGAATCACACTATAGAAGCAAAGATAGACCAGGACAACATTATACTGCAGATCCATTATCAAATTCCAACCATTTCAACCTTCCCTTGGTTTCTAAGAGCTATATTTGCTTCTCTTTTCCCTTCCAGTGTACTGAGGTACACTGTTTCGACATACCTCAAAAACACTGCCCAGTGGTTTGGGTCTCCTGTTACCTCTCTTACAAAATGTTTTAGCAGTTTCTGTAGTAGCACAAATTGTCCTAACACCTCCATCAATATGCCAAAATTCAATCAGTTGTTCAGGAAGCTCTGCTTTTAAAAAAGCAGTGAGAAACTATTGCCATAGGAGCCTTAAATTGCTTTTCCACCTCTAACTACGGCAGGAATGATTATTTATTAAAAGAATGACCATCCTTCCATATACCAGCCAAGTACTAATGGGTCACAGCTCTTTGCTTCCCTATGCAGGCAACTATAATCATCAACATTTTCTTTTGGCAGGTTCAAATACTGAACTATCCAAATTTGAAATGTAAGTTGCCATCAAGCAGAAAGGAGATGTTAAGGTGCCAGATATATTACACTACTGCTTTGCAGTGGCTCTTCTTGCTGCATGGGACCAGAGCCTACAAATCTTGTGTTCTAGTTAAAACCATAGGAAGACAAGAATAAAAAATAGTTTAAATATACACTGATTTGCACTATAAAAACTGAACTTGTGATAAAAGTGGTATATATTACACTTAAATTCATACCTGGATATATGAAAAGACAAACATGAAAATAGTATTGCCATTAACTCATGCAAGTAGTTGCATTCTTTGCTCAGTTTTCACCACCAGCAGCTAAGAAAGTTCAAACAAACAGCAATAATAATAAAAAAAAAAGGCAGTGGCACAGAATCACTGGTTTTATTTCCCCCAAATAACTTATTTTGTTGGCACTAATTAGGCAACTGTACCTAGTATTTTCTACCTAAAAAAACTTTCAGGCCAACATCAAAACCTATTGCCACTTGTTCTGTAAATTCTAAACTGTTAACCTAATTTATGACCTTGTGGAGAAGTAAGCTATATCTGGCATTGCCATTAGGTAATACACAGCTCTGAGTAACATCAAGATATCAGGTTACAGAAGTTCAAATTAGTCCCTTTGTCAGCAGGCATTTTGTGCAGTCCTCATCAAAACCATTCTTCTATATGTTCTCATAGCTAATATAAATTTCTGTTTCCAGTATATTTTGCTTGATACTTACAGTGTAATATTTCATAGTCTCCTGAGTTTGACATTATATACTTGTTGTCTGGGGACCAGTCAAGGTGTGTAATATAGCTGGAATGTCCCTACAGAAGAAAGCAAGAACACCAACATGAAATGCACATTTTAGTTGCAACAGAAACAAGAGTTGCGTCCCTAGATGTGACAAAACATCCAGAAAAGTCTGCCCTTGCACCCCGTCAGGTCTGTAGCACTTCCCCTGCGCTCAAGGATACCCTTACAAGCTTTCCAAAAGCCTCTGCCATGCCCCTTGCACCACACAGGTTCATGCCAGCTACGGGGGTGTTCCCTCTACACGTGGGGTCCTCACGGTATCAATAAACCCACTTTGGCCTGCTTGTGTGTTTATCACCATCAGTAGCATGCTAAGCAGCCTCACGGTATCAATAAACCCACTTTGGCTTGATGGTGACATCAGTAGCATGCTAAGCAGTTACCTTTCTCCTGCATTTGGGGAAGAAGCTAAATGCATCCATTTAGAGTGTTTTGCCTATGCATTTTGTTTATTTGTTTGCTGAGTATAGTACTACTAGTAAGAATGATATGAAAGCCTCCAGGGAAGCTGCAATTTTGTAAAACAAGTTAACTATTCATAGAAGGGGGCATAGGAAATGAGCAAGTTTTCAAACAATTACTTCCATTTCACTCTTTTTGCTTTCCTTGCCTAATAAGACTGTCCATTTTTTGCTACCTAATCCTTCTGCTCAGCATCTTTTGATGCTTTCCTCATGACTTGTCAGCTGCCATCTCCTCTTCTTTCCCCTCCCAGCACACGTTACAAAGGCAGGATCCCTAGGGCCAGGCTGGATCCCTCGGCCCTGCCTGCATCATGCAGGACTGTCTGGAGCACAGGTCACTCTGGGCATGGGCCACTCTGCAAAGTGGCTTCCAGGAGCCACAATACCCAGCACTGTCTTCTTGACTGCAGAGAGGCTGATCGCCTCTAGAATTACATGTAGAAATGCAGTCATCTCTGTTCCCCTGTCACCATGCCTTCTGCAAGGGATTTCAGAAACACTTAGGGGAAAAAATAACATTTCAGATTTATTTTCTTTATGAATTAGTCTCTGCCTCTAGCAGAGGAATTGCATATTGACATATCTACTTTGCAGTCAAGGGTAAGATGTATGATATTAACATGCAAAGTTGGCATTTTGAAAAAAAATAAACATATGATTGGCTAGGATTTTTTTCCTTATTTTCCAGTCCTTAAAAATTGCAAGCTAACTCCAACATGGAAAAGAATTGGTCAGTCATTTACTAAATCCTGCCAGACATTTGGCAGCTGTTAAAATTCCTAGGGGCGGTGGGGGAGTGAACAAAGCAATTGGCCAGGGGGCTCCATGCTGGAAAATCCCTTCAAGCAAGTGATCACTAAATGATGAATCTGAACAGAACGGTGCCACAATATTTTAAATAGCACAGTCTTGTTTTCTATTAAAGTCTCTCTTCAGTAGCTCTCAGAGATAAAGCAACATTTTATTCCCGCCTTTTGTGCACCTTTATACACAAAGGGTGTAATGACCCGTGTTATCGTTGGTTATTGCAACTCTCTGACTATCTGAAATCATTTCCTTCATTGGTGATGTTTATCCATCGCAGACTTAAGTGGTACAGGGGTTGAAGTGTCCACAGCTTACGGGATGGGCACACTGATGATTTCAGGTTATCCTCCGGCCAGCTCAGCAGATGCACAGACCTTTCTGTCTCAGTGACGTTAGGCTAACAGAGCCAGGGCCTCTTACCCCAGAGCTGCTGACACACTGTAAGTTCATAACCTAGCCCATGCCTTCAGATTGCTGTCTGCATATCTGAAGCCCTCAAAACAGCTGCACGAGTCACAGTGGTTGTTCCAGCTCATCGGAAAATCTTCCTGATCACAACCAACATGGAAACAGGCTTAGGAGTCAGCCTATTTCATGCGGCAGAAAACCCCATCGTGACTATTCACACACAGTAGTAGCGATCACCTTATAGCCAAGCTGAGGCTGGTCTAGTAAATAAAATACTTCTAAAAGGATTCAAGCAATGTTTTCAGGTTGGAGGAAATAACCAGAAATTGACTACCAGAAGGACTAAGTCATCCTCCTTGGAGGTCACCCTCGCTGGGCTACTAAAGGACTGAAGAACGCCAAGAGGACGTGGTGCCAGAGCACAGGCACCTGACCAGGAAAGAGCTCAAGGTCTCAAACATACCAAGGTGTCTCCCTGCTTAGCATCAAGCTGCTATCGGCCCTCAACGTGTTGGCAGCCAGCACAGAAGAGTAGCGGGTGCGTGAAACTCGATCGCCAGCCTCGCTGCTCAGCCCAGCAAGTTAATACACTGCTGCATTCTGCACAAGCTGAAAGGGTCAGAGGAGCTCAGCTCAGAGAGAAACCAGGTTGCTAAATTTGGCTTCCTTGTGCAATCACTCACATTAAAAAAAAAAAAAGAGAGAGAGAAAAAAAAAAATCTGCTTTGAAGCCATAACCTTTCTGCCTGAGTACAACAACGTTCATTTCTCTCATCCCTTTATGAATCTTTTTCTTTCCCCACTACCAAGATGCGGGGGAACAGACAGACTGTGGGTGTTGAAAGAGGAAAAGGATCTACCAAGATGCGGGGGAACAGACAGACCAACAGACAGAGATCACTAAATAGAAGCCAAATACTTTAAAAAATCTCTGTGGGTGTTGAAAGAGGAAAAGGACAAGGGAAGAAACAAACACATTACGCACGAGTGTTATCTTTTGTTTCAGTGCAGACTCTCCATAGTCAGTATACTGAAAACTGGAAGATTGATCAATCTTCCCAACTACCAGTAGCTTTGGAGTTATGAGATCATTTATTCTACATATTTTGTCGTGTAAATCAGGCGGTATCATCAGCAAACAAAATGCATTTCTGCATACTGCTCAGCAGAAATTGTCTTTGATCTGTTCTGCTTTTTGTGGCTCCCTCCAGGTAAAAGGGACAAGGAAAAAGCAGGCACACCATGGTTGGCACTGACTCGGTGCTGATTCAAACTACAACATATTTTCTCCTGGGCAGCATCAGTATGCTATGCAGAAATTAATGATCACATACATCTGGAAAGACCTCAGACCTTTAAGTAGGGTGGGTTGAATATTAAATATGTCTTGGCTCTTGGACTGGGCTCCTGATTTCTCACCCTGTGTTCACTTGGTGATCACTAGGCTGTCTGCTGACCCCAGTGCCACCAAAATCACCATCCACCTCCTGCCCGCAGCTTCACCAGGCCAAGGCTGTGGAAGGAGGTGGAGGAGGAACTTGCAAATCCTATTGAGGCTCAGACGCTTTTTATGTCAAACCAAGAAAGACAGCTGTACTTTAGGCCAGGGTATAATACAACATTGAACAAAACAGAAAAAGCTAGCCATTTATTGAAATTGGTATTTTTAACATTGTGAAAACCTCATACAAATGTAAGCACCAGTATAAACTCCATTACTTGTGCTACACTTGCTTTTATTTATGCTGGGCTAGAAATTAATTCTTGAAAGATAACATCTCCCCAATTTCCAAATTTTTAATAGCAATTGCAGCTTAAAATAGTACATAGTTATAACCCCCAAAATTTTATCTCCTAATGTAATCCCACCATCAGCATTGTGCTGGCCCAAGAACTTGTAAATAGAAGGAAAATAACCTCCAAACAACTGCAATATTTACCCAGAAAGATTTTCAGCATGTAGATACACAAGGCTTTTGCACCTTTCTTCGAAATAGGAAGTTAGCAGTAAAAGTTTGAGAAATCAGTTGTATTTGGCACAAAAGGATTCACCTAACAACTAGCAGTTTTGAAATCAATCACTCTAAGGTTTAAAATCTACCAAATCGTGGAGGGAGTGTGTGAGGGGGTAGGAAATCACAAAAGGTCTAACCAAACTAAAAATGGTTACAAAACTTACACTGCATTTTCCATATCTGCTATATTTTCTTCCATTTTCTGTTACTACGTAGAGGTAAATCAAGTTGTCATGGGATCCAACGGCAAGCAAGGTGCCATCTATAATACAAGATCAAGATATTTGATATAGATTAACAGAAGATTAGTTTTCTAAAATTTGATGATTTCAGATTTATCACTAAGGCAATAGTCTCAATTAAGCTATTTTTCATGAACTGTACTTAAGGATAGATTGCTGATTACAATATGTTTTTTTTCCAGTATATATCTTTTTACTTTGTGGCTATGCTTTTATGCTGTGGCAAGTTCTTTCACCTCTACTCTTTTTAAGCAAGCTCCCAATGGACAGGGTAGTAGACTCTAATTCTTCTGACTGCATTGGATTTCTGGAAATATTTGACAGCAGGCAGGCAGACCTGAGTTTTTCAAATTATAAAAAATGCAGAACAGCCTTTACTGTCTGATTATATTTTGTAGATTTCTTTTTTTAAAGTATTGTATATAACCAATGTCAGATGAGATCTAAACAGCAGCAAGTGGAGCATTTAAACATTAATGGCAATTTTCTAACCCTTGTTCTAAAAGGTTCATGATCCAGAGTTGCCTTGGACCATGACCAAATGCCTCTGTAGTGTTAATGAGCATCTGAAATATATCGCTGTACTCGGCAGATGTAGCTGCAGCAGAGTAATGCCTACTGACATGACATTTCTTCCAAAAGCAAACAACAAACAGGTTTATGAGATTCTTCTTCCACTGAGTTTTAACAGCAAGGACTCAGCCTTGATGATTTGTCACGTCTGAAGAGGAGACTCAGTACTGGCTTGTAGTCCATGTAATCCTATAGCAAATATTTTAGAGTGAAAAGCTCCAAGTATCAGACAGACCTGAACTTAGTTTTATGGTTTTATAGTAATAAAGTTTGAGAATTAAATATGTGTGTGTATATATATATATGTATATTTATAGACGCTCTGTGTAAACTGAAAATTAATAGCTCTCCCTTCTCTGTTAACCTTCCAACTAGTTAGTTGAGAATTATTACTTTTTCTGGAAGCAGAGTTACCATTTGTTATAACAACACAGATCAACATAAGGGAAAGGCTGAGATAGGCGACTAACTTTTGCAGTCACAAAACTAAAGTTTAGCATATGCAAACCTGTAACAAAGTATTTAGGTAGGTATTAATCATCTTAAACTATCTTTTTAAAGCTCTGTCTTTACTGGTGATTGACAGTAACATGGCATGGGTAGACACAACTTAACAGAAAATAATTCATTTATCAGAAATTTAGACATGCAATCGCTCTGAATGTATGAGAAGTCTGCCTACCTACTGAGTAGCGCATCACTGAGAGCTGCTCATTGCCATCAGTGTGTATTGAAACCAGATCCCTCGTTTCTGCATCCAAAACAAACCACCTAGAAAGAGGAGAATTCCAATGAGTTCCACTTCCACTAGACAAAACAGGAAGAAAAAGAGCAATAATTATTGCCTTTCTTCTTATTCTCATGCTAGCTTTTCAAGGACGAACATTTGTCTTTAACACATTGCTTTTTTCGTTCACAAAGTGATATAAGTGTCAGGGAAGAATAGTTAGAAATCCAATATATGTTTTTAAAAATTCTTTACCACTGTAATAATCAACAAATGTCCTGTCCACTGGATGATAAACATACCACTAGATAGCTAATATGACTGCAATGTATCAGTCTGAAGCCTTAACACTACAGTTGAAGGTTGAATCTACAATTTCTACCCTATTTATAAACCAGAGCTGTTTCTCAAAACTAATCTTTCCATTTGTATGAAACAAAATTGAAAAAATAATGGGAGTAGGAAGAAGTGGAAAGCATTTCTGTGTTCATTTTAAAACACAAAGTCAAGTCTTATTTGGCATTTTCGTCAGTCCTTTCCACACTCCTATGAATGATTTTCTCAAAGTTAAGATGGAACAACCGTTTATTGAAGTCTAACTGTCACCTAGCATGTTTTTTATTTCCTTCTTGGATGATTTATATAACCAAGGTAATTAATTGCATACAGTGATTTTTTATTATTCATTTAAGAGTAATTTCTATGCTGCAATATTAGTTATGAATCCAGAATAAATAACTCTAGAGCAGTTGCACAAAACTGCTCTGGTAGGATATGGAAGATTTATAGAATAAAAAGATATTTTTTTCTAGCTTGGAGTAGTTAAGAAATTACTAAGAATAAGAAATCCATTTTAGAATTTTTATTGTAAACCTGCAGAAACAACCTAAAATGACAAAACCTAAAAGACACGCTATTTTTAATAGTAATTTAGGTAGCTCCAGCACAAATTAATACAGCAGCAATTCACATTTGCAAATTCAACAGATACACAGCAACAAGTACGACTCTTATAAGAAGGGAGGAAAAGGTTCACTGCTTAGTTTACAAACGTTAGACTCTTGGTTTGAAGGCAGACCCAGAACAAGGAAATTAAATTAGTTTCTAACCCAGTATCAAGCATGCAGGGTTTCAGATCTACTCAAGAAACCTCAGGAGATACTGTGGGATAAAGGCACTCAGAGTCCCAGCTTCTAAGGTCTATCTCCAGCCCTCCAAAAGCCATCACTCATCGTGAGCCTAGAGCAAGCACTAATAAATAACATATAGGTATAGCATGAAAACACAAGATGTTAACGTGACTGCACCCATGAAAGTTTCCTTCGGAGTTAAACTTCTTCAGTTGCAAGTTCTGACCTCACAACTACGTTCAGGTCCTAAGGCCAGGTGTTTGTATCTAATGGCAAGTGATGAATTCACGTATGTGGAAAAGAGTCAACCCTGTAACACACAGATATCTAATATTCGACTTAAATGGAAGAAGCATATTGCTAAAACTAAGACTATCTATTCCAAAACAAACTTATATAACTTAAAATAAACTCCAGGAGAAAGAGTACACACAGCTCTCACTGATCCCATGTCTGAAAGCCAGATATCTGGAAAATGGCCTGGTCCCAATGGCTGAAAACCAATTTGCGGTTAGAGAACCACATGAAAAATATGTGTTAAACAATATACACACAGAAAAAAAAAAAGAAAGAAAAAGAAAAAACCACACAACCAAAAAAACCCACCCCAGCTCAACAAGACTTTTGAATAATCTGTGTGCAAGACAGATGGAACCAGTGGAAAACAGCTAATATGTTTTCCTTGGACAGCGAAAGAAACCATGCTCACTATCACTGCACCATAATGCAAGAGGTGGACATTTGCTTACTTCCAAAATGGATGCTGAAACTTTGGAGGCTACCCCAATGCACTAGAAAATACATATTGCTATTCTGCTATTTCGTTACCCACATCCTGCCTGCTTGCTTTTGTCAAAGGTTTCAATAAAATATTGCTTTCTTGTATCTGTCTGATAAGGCGGGTAGTGGTGCAGGAGCTTACAAAATCGGGGTGGGCAGGGGCAGAAGGGAAGAGAGGGCAGTTATGCCACTTTGCAACCACTGAAAGATATATTACTCCACTGCAATAATAAAACTGCTCCAAAAGTCCTTCCTGATGGAACTACAATGAAAATGCAAAGAAAGAGCACTGCCATCATTGAGTTAGTCTCATCTTATTTTTAAGAAGCATGAGAAGCTGCTCTGGAAGCCAGTGCACTGGTCCTTTTTTTTTTACAGTTTGTTGAGCCAGCAGAGCCAACAGCGCTCCTCAATGGACCACGACCCTTTGGAAATGCACAAAAAGATGCAAGGGGGCAGCTAGGGCAGGGACAATTTTGTCTTCACACTGACCCAGAATTTCAGAAAATTTGCTGATGCTACCAGCTGGTTTCCCAAATGCCCTTTGCTGTTTGGCCACTGCCCTAAAGCAGGCAATGTTCCACTCAACATTTCTTATTTAAAACATAAAGAAACTCCAAAAGCCTAAAATTCAAACAGAATAAAACCTGCCAAGCCATCCCCTTTGCTGAAAGCCCTGAGCTGACCCGGCATGACATCAAACATAGCACAAAACTCTTGCTGCTCTTGGAGGATACACTTGGTGTGAGAGGTAGCATTTTGCAACATTTGTCCCTCTTCTCCAGAGTCTTCTTTACCCCCCACAAGAGATACAATCCTAGACGCAAACTTGGCCAACTGCAAATCTCACAAGTGCAGGACAACAATTTTGATATTACTTTAGCATAGCAGTGCTGGACACATCTAGTTCAACTGCTCCTTGATGCTTCCACAAGCTATAACCCCACACACTCTCTTCAACTGCCTAAGGTCTCCCAGGGCTGGGAGACACCGGGATTGCCACCACCAGGAAAGCCAGGCTCCATGAAAGATGTTTCCAGCCTGACGGATGCAGCAGTGCCGTGGCAGGCTGCGCCGAGGCTGTTATTACAAAACGGCTGGGTCCCACCGTACAACTGCCCTCCTTGAGAGGATTTCACTGCCAAAACGAGTGTACGCAGCGAGCAAACAGCCGCTGACCCTGCAGGAGTTCTGCCGGGCTGTGAAACGCAAAGCTTGGCTGCCAAGCAAGCTCTTAGACTCCTGGGCTTGCAAATCAGATGAAATAAACACGAGCGATGCACTGGTTATAAAAAGGCTTTGGCTTTTTCTGATTGTCTCCTAGTTATTACTGAAGATAACATGTTTGTGAGTTAAAATAAGCAATTCAGAAACTTTGTACTTTTGATCTCAGTTACCTGTCTTCCCACTCCTTTGGTATTTTCCACATTTTAATTTTAAATAATCTTTCTACCTGGAACAAATTAATCACTTAGAGATTAAAAATAATAATAATAATAATCTGTAAGCAGTTCTCATCTGGAAACCAAACTGTGATTCATGACATAGTCATTAATTAGTGATAACTTACATCTGTGAATGCATTTTTTTTTTAACTGATGAAAGCACTAGAGAAACAGAGTATTCCAAAGTAGTAACGTACTCTTGCACTAACATTTGCAATTGCTACAACATTATGTAATACTGAATATGGAACCTGCAAGGCGTCATCAGAGTGCAGGTTGTTTAGGTGTATTCCCCTTTTCACTGCAGAAGACGCTGACCTGGTGCAAATGTGAATAGCTCTGCTTGCTGCTTCGCCTCCCTGGGGCTTTGGCTGAGCTGGTTTCACCTACCAGCCTCCCGTTTTCTTATTAGTGCCGGTGACTTTTGCAAGAAGCTTCTCAGCCTTTTTTTTTTTTTTCCTGCAATGTTTTTGAGTACTTGTATCAGCAGCACTCAAAATACTCTACATGATTAGTCACAGGAAGATCTGCTTCCCCGCAAATATCCTCACTGGCAACATGGCACAATAGGCTGGGCAGTACCTTGAAACACTCAGTTTTCCGGTGGGATTTCTGATTGCTAGCCCTCCCTATTTTTTTCAGCTGTGCATATCCAGCAAACATCAGGATCCAAAAAGTATTAGCTCTCTCCTGTCCAGGCATAGACATAACCATAGGCAACTGATGAACAGACACACAGCAGGTAGTTTTTTTTTTTTTTAAAGGATAAGAAAACAGGCAGTCCAACATTTGGAGAAAGTCTCAAAAGACAAGTGATGCTGAAATACACACCATGGGAAGCGGGACGTAAAATACACTCCAGAAACATCACATGTCAGCTCCGATAAAAACACAGTACAGTGGAACACCAGAGAATGTGAAGAGAGATGGAAAATTCAGACTGCAGAATTTTCTTCAGACGTCAGAATTTTAACCCTCAAGCCCAGTCTCGTCCATGCCCTGTTTCCTCTCCCCGTCTTACTGGCCTCTGTGCTGAAAGCAACGTGGCACTAGCGCTGCAATAAATATTACACATTCGGGGTTTTGGTGTATTAAATTCTAAGCAGATTAGAACCATTTAATGCTTGCTTTATGAGTCCTGGGGTATGAATCAAGTCAGTTATTATACAGTTAAGGCTTCAGAGATTTTTTTCCTTTCTTACAGTAAGCCAGATATATCAGGCAAATCTCATTCCTTCAGGAAATAACTCCCTGCAACTGGTTTATCTGGCATGGAAAGGACCACATGATATCGCCGGTTAGTCAGTAAATCTAAAACTGCTCTGTTTATCTTGTTTCACAATTCCATTTATTTCTCATCCACTTGTACACTTACCAGACCTCATTTCAATTCAGTTTCATTTGTGTATACCAAACCTATCATTGAATCATGCAATATCAGAAGGCAATAAAATATAATAGTGGAAATAACTGCTTCAGTCCAAAACGATCATAGGAAGAAAATAATAAGACCATGATTATAAACATATCCAATATCATATAAATGGGCTGTCCTCAAGTAATTTAAAATACTGAATTTAAACTTAAATGCACTGAATTGAAAATGTAATGAAAAACTGTTAGGAAAAATATATCTCTCTATATATACACGTCTAAAGCAAACTGCTCACTATGACCTGATTGTATTTTGATGTAATTTCAAAAATGCTCAAGCAATGGGGCCTGACATCTTTTCTTGGTATCAAGTATTACACAGGTAATATCTTCTGCTGTGTCTAGCAAAGGTAGAAACACTGGTTCAATTTAACACTGTAATTACAAAGGCACAACAAAAAGAAAAAGGCACAAAGTGGAGTACAGATGTACAGGAGGCCAGCCAGATTTTATGTGGGAGGTTGCACTACATTTTCTAGCCTGATCTTGTAAGTAATGAATTTATTGCAGTCTCAATCTTCATCTTGGAGAAAGAAAATCCTTGAAAAACATTTTTTTTTCCAGGAAAGTTAAAAATGTGTTGCATATGCTCAGCAGTTTTTAAAAAACAAACTTTTAATACCTAAGTGCATTCTTAGAAAACATTAAAAAAATCTAGGGGACGAACTAACTATGCAAAATAGTTATGTGCTTACAAACACTGTGTATTACTTTATCACTGGCTTGCCAATCACAAGGTAGCACTGAGGCAGAATGAGAATGGCAGTAGATTTAAAAATGGCCACTCCGGCCTTTCTAATGCTGTTAGTAAACTGTTTTTTTTTTCTTCCTTTTAATTGTTATTTGCTAAAAATGCTTTGCATGAGATGCATTTCCTGGGAGATGGTACCAAGTTAAAGAGAGCTTAAATATGAATTGAGACTTTTTTCCCCCCACCACTAAGAAATGCCTGAATTCAAGGGTGTGGTTTGTGTTCAGACAGCTTTAAAATAAGAAAGAATATTGGGATGAGTCTGGACATCCTAATGTTCAACAGCTCTTCACTGTGCATTACAACAAAGTGCCACGTTAAACTCTGTCTATACAACGTCAAAACACTGTTCAGTTGCCTTTCCTTAAGCAAATTGAACATGTTTGAGGTGGAGGATGGAAAATCAGTCATGGACTCAATTTCTAAACTAATGCAGTACACTCAATTAAGACACATGATACTTGGTAAACTCAGCAGGCAGTGCTCATGAACACCAAAAAAAAAAAAAAAATTCAAAATGTGGGTGTTCATGATTAAAGAAACAATGATTCATGTTCACCATTAGTTAGCTTTATACAAAAGTATAAAAAGCAAATAGCAGATGAACTCCAATAAATAAAAAACCTAATATTATACCATCTCCCTTAAATTTTCCATTATCACAGCTTAACCAAAACATATTTACCTTCCAGAGTGTGTTCCGATTGCTACCACTGTCCCGCTTGGGTGGAAGTCAGCGCAGTGCCCAGGTTCCTAAACAGAGGCAGAGGTAGGCAACTTACTGTCCAGCTTATCTACGGGAATAAACCTCTCCTTATATTAAAGATAGCCTAAGAATTCCATGCAAGCTAGCAAAGAAATAAAAGAAGGAGATTAGCTAGTTAGCAGCATGCTTACAGTCCTCAAACCAACTTTTTAGTGTACCACTAATATGCATTAAATGACCTTCTCGCATGTAACACATGTTTTGGTTTTTTTTGTTAAAAAAGTTGAATTTGCTTGGTTATTAGCAAAGGCACAATATAAAACTTTACAATAAGGAAAGACGTCTAAAGCCAAGTCTAACATGCCTCCACTGACAAAACAAACTCTTGACGGTTTGAATGGTTGTAAAAAAGCTAAACTGTAACAACAGCAGCAGAGAGGGATTTGTATTTTATATCCTGATTTGTGTGGCTAAATAGGATCATGGTCATCAGACTACCATATGTATAATGACTGATGCATCCTGTTAAGTTTTGATGAACTTCTGAATAGTCATTTCTAAAGTCACCATTATGGAATGTTTTGCTTTTCCCTGCAGTCAAATGGAACATGTGACGAAAACAATGTCTTCTTCTATATTCCAATTTTATATTTAACATAAAAGAGTTCACATACATCTAGCAGCCTGGTCCATTCCAGTGTGTGGTCCACAGAATTCCACAAACAAACTTGCCTATCTTTAGCACATGTTAAAAATAAATCTTTGAAAGGATGGGATGCCAGTCCCCAGAGCTCATCTGTATGCCCCTGAAAAAGAAAAAACACATAATTTAGAAATGAATATAGCAAAAACCTGACTGGGAAGCCCTAGCAATTCACATTTTTGGATTATGCATAAAAAAAATAGATAAAAATAATCTCACCTGTACTTCTACCAGGAAGCCATCGTTAAACGTTGCCCGCAAAACAAAGTTGCGTGAAGTACCCACTAAAAACTGATCTGCTTTTCCTTCTGCTACTGCCCTGATTGTTCCATACTGATCAGGAACCTGGGAAAACAAACATCAGGAAAGCCACATTCCAAATCTTACTAGGCACTTATTTTTCAAGACCATAATTACCATAGTGCACAATAACAAGACCAGAACTGCCATTCTCTCTGCAAAATGGAATAATCTAATCATCTATACATTGAATCAAAATTTGACCTGAAACTTGCCTCATTCTGTACAGGCATATACAGGAGAACATCACTCCAAAACAAGTACAATTATATCATTTTCATAGGTCTCAGTAGAAAAAAATAACAATTCTGTTATTAAATAAATGTGCTCCATACCTTTAAAACTCATCATTAAGATAGGAATTATTTACATTTTAAAAGAACATACCCTAAAAATTAACTTAATCTTGTACTCACAGTCCTTATTTTCTTAATCAAAAAAATCATTCAGAAAGTTGTGTGTAAGAATTCACTTAATATTTTTTCAACATAAAATAATCAGTTTGAACATATCACATATTGGTAAAAGGAGCAAGGAGGCAGTGCTATGAATTCAGTATGTTACACTAGAAGTCTAGCAGCTGTATAGAGTAGTCAATGTTTACTTATTCTCAGTCATGCTTTGTGAAATTCCTTACCTTCAAGCTAATATTATCTTCAAGGAAATAATAATGAAAACACCCATTTATAACACTTCAAAATTTTTGTGTTTAGTTCTCAAAAAGTTGGTAAAAATGTATAGCAATTAAAAGGTAGTGCAATATTCCTAAAACAACTATTTAAGAAGAATACATAACTTTAGGCGAACATCTCATGCTTGGGAAAAAAAAAAAGTTATTTTAAATTCACAGCATGCATTTTTTCTAGTTCATCCCCATTCCCCAAGTGACAAAAACACTTAGGTACCCAAGTATATGTTGAGGTAAAGTTAAAAGAAATGCTTCCACATTCCTTGCTATTTGACCGATTCAGAGTACCCTTATAAATGTTATTATTTGTCCAACACCAAATATTTTATAAAAAGCTTGATTCCTGGTAACTTGTCTTTCTCCAAGCAGGCAAAGGCAAGAAAAAAAAAAAAAGGTAGGCAATACTAAAGAGCATCTTCAGAAAGGGAAAAATAGAGAGAAAATCAGTAGGGGTTCAGGAAAGAACACTTAAGCATTCCACTTGCTTAAATAGAACATTATAAGAATCTCAGAAGGTACCATATATAAACTGACACTTGACACACTGTTATAACAAAATACTGCCATCCACATAGAAAAAGGCCAAAAAGAAAAGCTCTGTCATATTAAATACTGGTCCCTCTGCAGGGTGCAGGAGCTCCTGCTTGCTAAAAACACAGTCCAATGCAGTTTCACTCTTCTCGCTTTCTCACCTCAATTTCCCTTTCGGGATTCAGATCATGATCCCACAGGATGATCTTGCGGTCTTTCCCACCTCCAGTTAGCAGCATCCCATTCCTCAACTGACAGAGTGTGAACACACTGCCATCATGGGCTTTGATTTGTCTGCTTATCTGATATACTCCTACATGCACAAAAAGAAAAGAATATTGAGCCCTCAATATTTTAATATTTTTTTTAAAAAAAAAAAAAGGGCTTATAAGCAGCAGTGCATTTTGACACAAGAGCAAAATAGTAGCCTATAATAAATAATTACATTTAGACTGTCACCCTGTTACTATTGCATTTGTATTACAAACACAAGGTGGTAGTGTTTTCTTATAGGATAAAAAGATAAACGAAAAGCTCTGCTTTTCTAAAGAGAAGACTTTTTTTTTTTTTTTTTTTTTGAGACTGTCACTGTTCTAAATCCTAAACCTATTTTGAAGGCAGGAACATAACAATTGCTTGCAAAATACTGCATATATTTTCCTCACAAGAGGCAAAAATATTGATGTGTAACTATTAGAAATGAATTATTTTACTCAAAAAAAAAAAAAAGCTCTTAAGGCTATAGATGAGGAGTCTAAAGCATCTTATGGGAATAAAAATGGAAAAATGGCAAATTATTTATAGTAAAGTTTCTGGAATGTTTGATTCCAATAACTCATGCTGGATGTTGCTTTACTATAACCAGCACTTGGTATCTATAAATATAGTAGCTTACTCAAAGGAAAACATGAGGAAGAATAAAAGGGTGAGAAAATTAAATACCAGTGCTATCACAGAAAAATAGAAAGACTCTTGCATCCTAGCTCAGTCTTTATTAGAAGAGAACTGCTACCTATTGTGGTAAAGTATATTAAAAAAAAGGCAGGGGGGAGCTTCCAAGATTTGCACACATACAAAGAGGAATCACAAAAAGCCTAAGACACCACCTCAATAAACGCCAACTTAATTGAGCTGACTCTGCCTATGCCTCAACTCAGCATGCTTGGACTGCCAAAATGAGTTTGAGATAAAGTTCTGTGACAGATTTAATATGATAAACCAACTAAAAGAGCCCATATTCAATTTAGCCAATGCAAGTAAAAGTTCTATTTGAAATCTTTCAAGATTGTTCTGGGAAAAGGTTACTTTGTACAAAAGAACTTCAAAATTAAACATCAGATAATTTGTTAAATTACTTTTCCATTGCAGTTAGCTTGAAAGACAAGAAAGATTTACCTACAAAAGCAGACTTACCGTTAAAGATTTGCTTTTTACATGAATGTTTTCCTGGCATACCAATTTAAACCAGAGTGTTTGAAATAGCTGCCAAGTAAAATAAATTATACTTGAATTTAAAAGTTACCTTAGGGCTCAACTGTGCCAGGTTTGCATATGCTGGGTAACAAATCATTTTTCTTCTCTTTTCTACAAGAAAAGATTTTAACCCAAATGCCAAATAAAATGAGTTTTAGAGTATATTTTACAGCCAAGATTTGAGCATCTGCTTAACCAGATACCATGTTATTTGTGTAACTGCCACAGCTCTGCAATGTGTTTTTCCTTCACAAGCCCTCTTAACATCAGCATCAACTTTTACTGGTGTTCTTTTGAGACTAAGCATGGAATAACTCGAGATTTGACAGGCAAATGCAACTCACAGAGCCCTCAGATTGATCCTACACAGCCTCCTTCAAATCACAGGATGAAAGCAAAGTTGATTAACTGCACATTTTTTTCCATGCAAAAACATTTAACTAAAGTAGTTTTCATTAACTCTGGGTACAGGCTCATAAATTGATGAGAAACTCTGTATGGCTACTAAGTCAACTAATAAATTCATGAGACTTGAAAGAGTTTAGTACCACCTGTTATAATAGGAAGTGCACACTCATAGCCAGGCCAATTTTCCTACTCATTCTCTAATGCAGTCTTTTAAAAGTTTGTCTTCTACAGCCTGTCTAATCTGTGATTAACTGTGAATGCATCCTACCTTTAGGTCCTTTTCCTGGAGTAGATTCTACAGTAGTTTTGCCCCATATAAGTATTATCCCACCTGAGTCTCCAGTGAGCACATCACCATTTCCCAAAAAAGCCAAACATTGAACAAATTTGGGTTTTTCATATTTCTGAAACAAAACAAGCAAAAGAAAGGGGTAATTGCTTGTACTCTTTTTGCAATTGCCATAACATATCCACACCCATACGTTCTGCATCCATATAAGCACAAGTTAATCTTTTTCTTTACCTTCAAACAAGTTAAGGTGACAATGGGACAAGCTTGTGGTTGGGATGAGCAGACCATTCTCCACTGACTTAAAACCTGACCCAATATAAAGGCATTCTTACCCCAAATATCCCTTGTTTTCTTGCTAATGAATTGCCACTCCATGTCCAAAAAAATATATGAGATTTGCCACATGTTATTATGGTATTTGCATCAGTCGGGTGGAATTCTACAGCAAGTACAACTTCATTTGTAGTCTGAAAGAACAACAGAAGTAGCATTTATTCAGATGGAACATTAGCTTTTAGACTCACATGAAAAATCCCAAGTTTTTTTTAAAAAAATAGAATAAAATGAATATCTGATTGATTGGATATATGAAAGGATCCATAAATACTTCCACGCTAAATCAACTGTTTGAACAAACACACACATCATTTTAATACTACCCTTTCATATTCTTAAAGGATTTTAGAAAACTTCAGTAGAAAAGTGGGGCTTTTCATTTTTTTTTTATTTGTTATAATCCTTCTACCAGTTGGAATGGTTAAAGCTAGTGCTACCCAAAAGGAACAAAATAATTTTTTTAAAAATTTAAAACAAGTCTGTTTCCATATTGATTAGTTTGTTATTTTGGATAACAAAACTATGATAGAGATAACACAGAGAATCATAACATACCACAATTACATCCATTTTCTTTGAAACACTTTTTTTTTTTTAAACCTCCTCTTACCTTCCTGCCTCCTCATGTGAGGACACCCAAGTGAATATTATATGAACATGTTACCAACAAAATTTTATGAATATACCAAACTGACTGGTCACTTATCTAAGTTTTAATGAAAATTCTACAGAATTGTCTTTGCTTCAATCTCCTGGAGGCAATGACTCCACAAAATACTTATGAAAATGCATCAAGGCATTTGTTTTTATAGGAAAATTTATAGGGTTTAAGCACCTGCTCTAAAGGAACAGCACTGCTGAATTTGCACCTGTGGGACTAATGAAGATACACCCCTTCACTGTGCCTTTTTAGGTTCATTTTAGATATGTAAACTTGTTTGATTTCATTGTTTTTGATGATCGCATTCATTAAATTATTTCGTATACCCAAACTTGCCTCCACATGAGTGGACCTGGCACGTCCACAAGCCATCTAAAACTGGAAGGGCAGAAATAGTCAAGTTCAGGTGAAATGAGGTGTCCACTTGAGGTGCTAACTGAAGGGTAGAAGCTCTCAGCTCACAACAGTCTCAGATGTTGTGGAAGGTCCCTAACAGCCCACAAGGCCAATTGCTAACTGTGAATAACTGAAGGGGAAGTTTTCCTTATTGTTTAGGTTAATTCTGAAATACCAAGGAGCTTCCAGAAGAGTGAATATAGTCAAAATGAAATGTCACTAAAAAGGCAAATGGGAAATATCAGGCATATGCCAATTAGCTTCACATTCAGTATCAACAAAGAAATGGAAATGCTGGCAAATTTACATTAAAGACATATAGAATAGCATGCAATTAACATCAGGTCAACATGATTAAAGCAAAATAGGCCAAACAAATCTGATTTCATTATTTGAAATTGCAAGTTTGTAGTCCAATAGAGAAATATGTTTATCGAGTACTTGACTTACTGATTAAAACAATTGCTTAATTAAAAAAAAAAATTCTCAGTTCTACATCTATATCTTGCTTCCTTGATCTTGTAACACAAAGCAAGATAATCCCAAAGTGTAGACTTCACCAGTAAATTATTATTTTGGGTGTTCTAGTGCAATTGATTTTAGACTGACAGAGTGCTCCACCTCTGGACACTTGTCAGTGAACAAAAGTCTGGATTACAATATACAGAAGTACTGACGGAGACACACATGTATCCAAAGAATCAGTGTCTGGAACCTCATTCAGAAGAAAAAGACAATACAGAACATCGGGAACTGTCTTTTAAAAATAAAATCTACAGACGGCATTATCACTTTATTTCCCTAAAATTACCATTATTTTTATTTTTAATTGAGATGCTACTAGGGAATTTTTTAATTTACAACGAACTTTAGGCCTAAGTAAAATGTAATAAATGCTCCCATAGTCAAAACTCTTGCATATACATGTTAAGAGTACATGTATTTTGTATTATAATGATCTTGTAATACTTAGAAACTATAATGATGCAATACTGCTGTAAACCAAATTCACATCCTACAAGTTATTGCCCTTCTGAGAATAAAAGCACTTATACTTTAGAATATTTCTTTACACACTACTTACCTTTATTTCTGCTACTTTTGATTTCTTTTGCCAATCCCACACCGTGAGCATATGCTCATTAGAGTCATCAATCACACACAGATGAGTACCAGAATCCTAAAGAGAGAGAGAAAAAAAAAAAGAGTAATGGCAAAGTACTTCCAAATCACATTTTAAAATAGGGTGTGACAGTACTATTTTAAAAATCACCAAGACACAAATATAGATCAGGCAAATCCTTGAAAACAAGGAGTTTTTGCATTTATCGTTTCTTTTAAAGGTAAAATATCTAAATTTTCAGATAATCTAATATTTTGGATAACCTCTCATGATACAATTAATATTTTAGGAAAACTTTAGAAAAAAACACCCAGTCTTTGTAGTTCGTAATTTTTTACCTTCCTGTTTGTTATACCATGCCGAAAGCATTAAACCAAAACTGCTTCTCTTTTTCTATTCAATAAATATTTTTTTTTCCTATTTGTGCTTTTTTTTTTTTTTCCTTAGTATTACTGGTATCTACACATAATTTTGAGTGATCAAGATTTTGCAAACAAATTTCAGTTTTCCCGCAAACAGTAAGTACCAAAACTTTCATTAGACAATTGGTAAAACTGCAGCAAAGAAAATATTTTCTGAAAAAAAAATAATATTTACAGAAGTACCAAATCTAACATCTAAGGTTTAAATAACTTACATAGCTCACTCTGAATAATTTACAACAAATGTGGCTATTCACCTTTCATAAAACAGGCTGAGACTCTCAGAACAAAGGTATATATTAATTGACACCATCATACAATTGCACAAACCAGTTGTTTCCAGAACCTGCATAGAGAGATGCGTACTTTAAAGCTGATTCTTGACAGTTCAACAGCTCTCATTTGCTAACAAATTATGAAAATAGTGAGGTGGCTGAATTTTTCATTCCCAGGCACTACTACAAGCAGATTGTCTCCAAAATACATGTCAATACTGAATTGGGGAGAGAAGAATAAAAGAATGGAACTAAAAACTAAAATCTAATCTTTAATGTTTCCTTTTTTCCTTTTTTGTGATGGAACATGTATTTCTTTACCTTAACAAATCTGAGTTTCTAAGTTTTATCGATGTGTTCTAGGGATTGCAGGTTCCTTTCACACTATTCTATTTACACAGTATATCTTTTATTTCATATATGGAAAAGTTTATTTTAAAAGCTATTCAAAAATTAGTATTAGAAGAACTATTTTATTTACTGAAAGACAAAAACCTCGATTTAATTAGCTCAGCAATGTTTAACTGTTAGTAAAACCGCAGCAAGACAGTAGGAGCATTTATTTTCAGTGGGTTGCCCAGAGAAGTTACTGGGTCTTCATCCTGGAAGACATTCAACACTCAGCAGACACCTGGGCTGTCCCTGCTTTGAGCAGGGACGGGTAGTTTGGGTGATCTCCATGGGACACTCTGTCCTTCTCTCCTGCTCTTTAATAGGAAACAGCAGACGAAATTTTGCTGCATTTTTGTTTATAAATCCTCTCACTAGCATGAAAGAATCACAGCTTGGCACTACAGGAGCTCTGATGTGTTTTTAATATATATATATATTTAATACATAAATGATAAACCTCCTCTCTCCCAAGGACAGGTATTTATTTCCAACCAAGGTATTTCTTGCCTGTTAACCTGGTGTGCTAGTCTGATACTACAGCTTTACGTGTGCAGTTTCCTGTTTTTCCACCTAGCTTGCCATTAGCTATTTTTTATAAAGTTTACAAATGTTACCGGCACACTTCAAAGCAAAGCAGGACAGCTAGAAAACGGCATCTAAAAACCTCCAGCAATTTCTCTCCCCTTAGAGAATAGAATTTGACAAAGCATTTAAAAGGTCAAATGAGAAAGATGTGCCTTACCGCTTTGGAAAAATCCAAGCAGCCCACGCCGCGCTCAAAAGTCCTGAGGCCGATGACCTGCAGCGTCGCCAGGCTCACCGAGTCCCACACCCTGACATGGGGCTGCAAAGGCTGCGCAAAAGCAACGGGACACACAGCATCACTGACTGCAGCCGGGACATCAGGTGCAAAGAACAAAGTTCATTAAACACACGTCTCCATTAACGCCAGCACCACGAACCGAATGCCAACGGCTTCTGCTCGTGATGCCACTGGCGAGCGCCTTTAGGCCGAGATCCCAGGCAATTCCTGCTCACCATGGCCGGGCTAGGACATGGCAGCATTGTGATCAGAGTAGGAAATTAACTACCACAGCGAGTCACAAAAATAAAACTTAGCCCACCTTAAAACACTGCATAAATAAATCGACTACATATTAATGAAACTGGTGGCTAAGCACTACATATATATATATATGTATATATATATACACACACAGACACATATATATATAAAATACATAAAATTGGCCACAGTGCATCACAGCGATGTCACTGAGTGCTCCATCATCAACCACCAAATCAAATCCTTCAGGCTATACATCATCCAAATATTATCCCAAACCTGCTTAGCTTCATAAATGTGATACAAATGCTAATAAAGCAGAAATGGAAATGGCTTTAGGAGAACAAAGATAACATCCTGTATGGCTGATATGAGGGGCTGGCGGGGGGGAGGGGGTGGAAGTAAAAACCAAAAAGCCTCCTCAATCCTAGCAGGACATTGAACACATATTCAGTGGAAGTCATAAGAACAGTCATAAGAAAGCCACACCAATTTCTTAAAAGAAATACAGATTTAAGTTGGGCACCTGAATAAGGCTTCTACACCTCAAAAATATTTTTGTTATGTTTTACTGTGTGTAACTTAGTAAAAATAAGCTGGTCATTCCAATTCCAATGGACTCTTTTAAATATCCTTGTCCCTGGCTGCTAAAGGCAGCTGTCCTTAAGCAGGTGAGTTTGTAGGAAAGCTTGTCACATCTTTCATAAATTCCCAAAGCCAATTTCTTTTTCCTTGAAGATGTGAGAGGACACAGCCCTACAGATCTGGTGGCTTGTTTTACCTTGAGGAAAGACACATTGGAAGGAATGTTGGAGAAATGTAATTGTTTTGGAAGGCCACATGAAGTTGCTCACTTACTTTCAGAACTCAAACTGAGTTTCTGATGCTGCAGATAGCAGAAACTCATAAGTTCTGTCTTTTCAATATATATCCGAACACTCAGTTGCTATCTTTTGCCAGAGATATTTCTCATTACTTTCAAAACAATACTATCTCAGAAAATGCATGGCATAAAATAAACTGCAAACAAAAGGTGATGATGATGAAAAATTCAACACTTTTTTCCTGATTTTCAAAACAAGATACTACTGCTCAACAGCTCTATTACTTACCCTTCCATCTTTATCCACTCCAGCTAACTGTCCTGTTGCAATTTTAATTTTGTCTGGATGAACTGCAAGACTAAGACAGACAGAAATATGACTTGCTTTTGCTGCCATTGGTCTTCAAAACTGAGAGGTTTTTTTAGATTATATTTGTTTGCTCAACAGAAGCCTATGAGGACACTTAAGATCCCATTTTTAATAAGACAACTTGAACGTTTTTCTCATTGGAATATTTCATTACACACTGTATCGGAAAATCCGGATCATTTACCCAGGCATTTGCAATGGCTGCTAGCACACGGCCAGAGGAGCCACAGCAGCCTCCTTCATATCCGCCCAGGCAACTCTAACGTTTGCATCTATCAGGGATCCACTGTAAGAAAACATACGTTGTCTTGTCCTATTCTTTCTAGGTGTAGCTGTCATACTTGTGAACATTATAGCGTTCTGTGCTGTGCACCTAAAACCTGTTTGTGAACCTAGGGAGGAAAAACAACTGAAAAGTCAGCTGAGGGATTGTGTCAGGGATTATCATCACTTGAAATGAGCTACTGATTTAATTGTACTAGTAAAATTTTTTAAGTGTGCTGCACTATTTGTTCAAGTCAAAAATCTGCTTTTGCCTTTCATATTTGCTTTGAAGCTCATGTGAGGGAAAAAAAAAGGGAAAAAGAAAAAGGGAAAAAAAGTGGAAAAAAAGAAAAAAGGGAAAAAAAAAGGAAAAAAAAAAAGCTGTTGCAACTTCAAAATTCCTCCTACTCAGTTTTACACTGGATTTCTCATTTACTTTCTCTTTAAAATTACAAGGGCGAAGAAAACCCTTGAAAAAGGCAAAGTGTATGTTGGTGGCAGGGAGGCCATAGTGATGGAAACCAAAAACATTTAAAATCAGTCTTCTGGATGGTGTGTGAAGAGCACAAGATTGACAGCATTCCTCCCACAGGAAGCAATTACAGTTATCAGAGCACAGCAGGAAAAAAAAAAAATGGATGTGAGGCTAGAGAGGAACTCCTCTTCCTCTTCTCTTCCATTCACCTAAAGCAAGGAGCCTTCATGCTCTATGAAATTCATAAAGCCTCACAGCACTTTTCAAACTAACACTGTAAAGTGAACAACTGTGCTGCCAGTGATGTTGGGTTCAATTTTCCCGCTTTGCTGTTTCATTTGCAAATGCCTTTCTGGTCTCCCACTTTTAGTGCTTGGATGGGATATCTAGTAAAAAATAAAAATAAAAAAATAAAATCATAAAACTATCAGTCAGTGTTCTATTTGGTTTTCTAACTCTCCTTTAGGTATATACCTTTGTCATACTGCTTGTAAATCACTGTGACTTAGAACCGGGCTGATGACAACTTTTATTACTTTGATATCCATTTAGAATAATTTATACAAATATTCTGTCTCTAATCTGACATTCTTAATTATCTATGCATCCTCTTCTTGTTTTATATTTAAATCTAGAAACCATAAGCGAGCAAGGACTGCTTTATCACCATTCACATACACAGTACTTACTACAGTGTAATCCACTGGGACTGATGGAAAAGAAAATAATGACTATTACGATGACCCTAATAAGATCATAGACAAAAGGAGAGAATTAAAACAACAACAAAAATCCTTCTGCATTATTCGCACGCACACAGACACTCATGCACAAATGTTACATACTGACCATTTAACGCAGTCTGTGTGACCCAAGTAGTGTCGCTGAGTTCTCTCATCATAGTTAAATAGTACCACCACTGATGCTATGAAATACACTATTTCTCCGGTAGGAAGGAGGTAAACATTGGCTCGACAGTCTCTCCCACGATACCCATATCTAGATGCATATATTTGTTTAAAGTCAAGGTCATAATCAGTGCATATCAGGAAATATAAATTTTGAAACAATGGGCAATTGTTCTCATGACACAAAACATATTCTTCATTATATTATTCTCTGAAAGTATAGTATAAATTTAGTGAATAATAGTTTAAAAAAAAATGGTCAACAGATTTGGGGAAACAAAACCCATTTAAAGTGATGTTTCACAGACACAAGAATAAAGCATACTGAAGTAGAAGGCATGCTGAAGACAGACAAATCTAAGTGTCAGCTTATAAGTCTGATGCTGGGAAGTTTCACTAGGCAGTGATGATACTCGCTGCCCTGGCTTCACGGCTCCTACAGCAGCACTGGCATTCCAGAGGGCAAGTGCAGCACTTCCAGCTGGCCTTTCCAACACGTGTGGGAAAATTCCTGATGCTCTTCAGAAAACGGCAAGATTCTGCAAGAGCAGCTGCCAGATTCAGAAAACAATTTCTTTGCGAAACATTTTTCAATATTTCTAAAGCAAACAAGCTTTGATGCTAGCTGGCAAGGGCAAAACTGAGTGAATCTAACCAAAACACATCTCATAAAAGAGATGATTTTGCAGAAAACCCATCCAGCTTCTCCAACACCAATGGCATTAAAGAATTTTATGCACTACAGTCCTACCTCGGTTAGCCCGGATCAAACTTTATTCGAACCTGATATTTTGAGGCAGGTGGTTTTTCTTCATGGAGACTCCTAAGGGGCTGCCTGCCCACATGTCAGCCCCCAGGGTCCTTGTACACCATTAAGTCCCATCTCACGCTGCAAAAGTAGCTCTGGAGCTTTAAAAATGAAATTACTTTTTACAAATTATGTCCTGCAACTTAGAGGTACTAACACATTTGTAGCAACAAGGAAAATATGGGCAATACCCTAAGCAACTTTAGCTAAAAGATCCCAACCACAGGTCTTGGTTGATCAGACAGCAAGGGAATGAAGTAAAAGACCCACATGGAGCAAACCCTTCCTTACAAACATTAGCAGATACGCGAGCCTAAACTGACATCTGAACTGATGGCCTGACCTCTATTCTTCATGAACAAGGCCTACCCTCCCACAAAAACAAACCCACTCAACATCCAACCAAAAATTACAAAAATGAAAAAAACAAACAAACAAAAAACAATCAAAAAACCCTACCACATTCTTTCCAGTCATCCCCTGAAAAAGTCAAAGCACTACCTACAATAGAGATCTTTCTTCTTTTGTAGCCCCATTAACATGGCCTATGCAAAAATTTTGGTTCCAATTGGGACATTGCATTGAGTTGTCAATTAAATCTCTTAGGAATAACAAAGAGAAAACAGGATCGTTTGCAGAGCACTTACTACAGAGCCCCAGGTGAGATCTCTGACGCAGATGTTATTCACTGGCCTGCTTAACTAATAATATCAAGAGAAATGCTTATGTGATATAATGCTGAAAGCAGAAAAAAACAGGATGCCTTTGTTCTTGCCTTATCACTCTTTATCTTCCCACTAAATTTTCCTTTCTTTTTACTTTGTAAGCGTCAATAGCACAAAAGGATAATATTGACAATGGCCCTTTTACAAAAGCAAAGCAAATCACCCAGAGCTTCCAAATCTGATGGGCGTTGAAATTATTATTTCTGTGCGGAGGCCCGAAGAACACTGTCCTAAATAGCACCTCAGAGGAGAAAGGCAGATCCTGTCGGTTTGTCCTCCATAAAAGGGAGTGTAGTGGTAAGGATTTGCTAAGATTGACATCTTTGAACATCCACACTGGAACGGGATTAATTACTTATGCAAATATGCCTTTCATAAAAAGCAGCCTACCATGGGGAGGTAAGGCTGAATAATCTGGCGTGCACCGCGGAGCTTTGGTACTCCTGAAGCTGCATGAAATGGTGTACGCTACCTTCATGCATTCTTTTATTTCATCCCTCCTATATAAGACAGTACGAAAGAGGGGTGGCATTTTCTAGAAACATGGAAAACAACAGTGTATTTTGTGAGATGCTTTTGCACTCTTCATTCTTCATTTGAAACGACCCTAGGGGTTGCTACACACCAGTTCTACCCTTCTCCGTCCATTCTGAATAAAGTAGCAAAGAGATACATTAGTAATTGACTGTGATTCTACAGTAAAATAGCTAACATTGCTGTTTAATTTTCATTATATTTTAATGGTAATCTTTCAATAAGACTGATGCTCCAGGAACGCAAATTCAAAGACAATAGGCTTAATACTGTAAAGATGACTTTTAGGCCAACTAAGAGAATGGCTTTGTCTCAAAAATGATATGTAGAAGCACAAATAAACAGTGATTTATTTATTTGAATTGGCTAGGATAGTCACTGCCCCATGCAATTCTGCAATACATTAGAATGCCTCTAATACTGACTTATTCTTAGGAAGAGCATCATTAAAAAAACAACAACAAAACAAATGAAAATGATGGCAAAAAACCCCACAACCTTAAAACCCACAAAAATTCCCTCCAGAAATTGACTTTCAAACTGTGAGAAAGATGCTATAATATCCCCAACAGCTAACAGCAGTACCAACAGTGATCTCCCTTGCTACTAAGCCCATGCCTCTACTACTAGGAATTTCAGATATGTCTTAATCATTGCTGACCTGCAGCAGGCAGGATTGCACAGCAAAGCAAACTCAATTTATGTGAAAACACTCAAGGGCCACCATCAAGGGCTCACATCTTCCTTCTCACGGGCTGCTTCAATCCTGCCAAGCAGCTTAGATATTTTTTTGCAGTCAACAATAATTTGCAGCACAAACAAAATCTAACTCCATTCTGCTGATTCCACAGGTGCTGATGTCAGCACCTGAACAAACCACAGGATGCAGCCCACCTACAAAGCAAACATCAGAACCCTTTTTTCATCTATTCTTACTCTGATGTAGCTGACCAGTCAGGCACATGGCACCAGCAAAGGAAAGTCCAATTATAAACAGTCCTCCAGTCTTCCTTACATAGAGAAACACTGGTCTGATTTAGGATGACATATAAGATTCATTTCTTTAAAGAGATTCCAAAAACATATGGACAGCTTTGTT